ATTGTTCTTCTTCTCTCAGTCCTTCATCAACTTAAACGAAATTGGATGAATACATCGCATATTACTGAGTTGCTGGTAGTCTCGAAACAATACTTAATGCGAAAAATAATTCAGTTTAGTTTCAACTTCAATTTAATTAATTAATTATGAAGTTAACGCCCGAGAGCACAAACTCTAATCAGCCTCAAAGTCAATCCTCAGCCCTGGGCTCAGTGGTAGATGCCTACTGCCGGCTGATTAAGTCGTTTAGGCCGACTGAGCTGGGCATTGAAAAGTGATTATTATAAATTCATGATAGTAATGGCCATTTTCCTCTCGTGTCCATTCATTTGCCAACAGTTTCAAGCATGGCCCTCTCTGCCAGCTTTACCAAAAAAGGTGTGCTGAATTTACTAATTATCTGCGAGTAGCCGTCTTTGTGTGTTTTTGATGTAGTCGCCAGGGTTATTCTGTCTGCACATGAGATGGGGAAGGAGGAAATGGGCGAAGTTTGCAGACACTGAGGGAAAAAACACATGTAAAAGCAGTAAAGTTTGCATATAACTGATGACAAACCCCTGCAAGGCAGGCAATAAAACAGATTAATGCCTTCACTTTTGTCCCTTTTTGGTGTCTCCTTCGACGAAAGACCAAAATGAATTGCAGCTTTGATGCTTCCGCCTGGCAGACTCAGGCCGAATGAACAGTCTTCTCGACGACAAGAGCTTGTCGTCGGTTTCCTACGTTCGACGGAGGGACAAGCCGCAGCCACTGTCCGCCCACTCAGCCGGCCACTTAAGGGACTGGGATCGAGGTCCGCGATGCAACCGAACACCGGCTCTGGAGTGCTCGAAGCCCCAAAGTCCTGAAGCCCGGTCCGCACAGCGGTTGAACCCGGCACTTGTCTCGTCCTGTCCACCCCGACAGACGCAGCCGAGACACGTCGACGTAGGCTGCGTCGGGCGACCCGCCGAGGGGAGTCGACGCCGTATTGGCCGACAGAGCCGGGCGGTCGGGAAAGACATTTGTCCCGGCGACCCTTCGATGGGCCAATCCTGGCGCAGAAAGGAAGAGTAACTGGTCTTTGAAAAGTCTCCTGAGCTATCGTTGCTGGAGAAGCTTCCATTCGGTATGAAAGAAGCTATTTGTAGGTTGATTTCACCAGAAGACTACGGCTAATTGGCGTTGATCCGCAGCCATTTGGCTTTAATGTAGCGTTCAGTTTGACGCATCCAACGAACCCTCTTCTCTCGCTTCGGGGCAAAACTGGCTCAGCTTACGTCCACCAACTGACGGACATGATCAGTCTCAAGTAAACAAACATCAGATCAAAAATGGGAGATGTCCCATCCTATTTCGTTTAGGGTGATAAGGGGAATGGCAGTTAAATTTAGACGCAATCATATCAATAGACATGACGTTTCCATCAAAAAACACTACTTATAAACGAAAATAAGTAACGTACTCGATTGCTATAGCAAATACAACGTTGTTCCATCGACAATCTCACCGCAGAATGTGATATGGGAAAACGCATGACCTTTCTTGAAATAAACACTTTCTCTGTCATCCAAAAGCACTCGTTGCGATGTGGCGTAGTGGTTAACCTTTCGAGATTACACGCTGCGGTGTCATGCTTCGAGTCCCGCTGGGGGTCGAATCGGTAGTCCATCCTGGATGATAAGACCTTAGGCGAAGTAAGGCTATGCTCAGTCTGCTGGAAACGTCAGATCTACTCATTAGCTTGTAGCAAATTTCATTTCTTAGTCTCCTTATCATCCTAAACGAAACAGGATGAATGTAACTGCATACTTCTGAACGAAGTATAAAGTCAAGAAATGAGATGTATTCACCCTATTTCGTGTAAGGTGATGAAGGACTGGTAGTAGAATTTTCCCACAAT